AAGCACAGATGCACATCATCTCATGAGATGCCAAATGCATAAATGTACATGTGCAAAACACCACTGGAGGGCACCCTTGTGCTAATCTCTAATGTTCCATTAGCACAGTGGTTCTCAAACCTTTCCATGAAGTACCCCCAGCACTGCACATTTTGCATGTCTCACTATATCTGACACACCCACTTCAGGTCTTGCGGTTTCCACTAATGAGCTGATGAGTTGAATCAAGTGTGATAGATGAGGGAGACATACAAAATGTGCAGGGCTGGGGGTACTCCAGGACAGGTTTGAGAACCACCGTTTTAGCACAGTGGTTCCCAATCCTGGTCCTGGAGAACCCCCAACACTGCACGGTTTTGATGTCTCATATCGCATACCACTAAGAATTTGTAGTGTTTTTTCCCTTCTATTTAACCAGAGAACTATTTTTTTAAAAAGCCTAGTGCACATTTTTACAACCATCAGTGTTGGGATAGATGATAGATATTAACATACTATGTGACCACAAATACTATATCTTGTTCCTACAGTCCTAGAAAACCTAGACATTTCAGGGAATTTTAAATAGTGGAAATTGGAAATGGAAATTCCGGCAGTAAACAAAGTTCTTGTTATTGTCATGTGTAAAATATTGTATTCATTTAAAATTGCTCTTTGTCTATTTTTTTATGTCTTTATCCTGTAAACCCTAAAAAATGTAGTGACTGGAAAAGTAATGGAAATGTGTTGGTCAAAAGGTACTGTTGGACAGGACCCCATATACATCTCTGTTTAACTTTCAAATGTTCTTTTTGGTAGATTGAAGATTTAAGATCTCTAGAGACGATCTCCAGAGAGGTTAAGTCCATTACCATCATTGGCGGAGGTTTTCTCGGTAGCGAGCTAGCATGTGCCTTGGGTCGCAGATGTGAGTCCAAACACTCAGCTGTTATTCAGAGATATATATATATATATATATATATATATATATATGTCAAAGTGTTGATTGTAAAAAAAAATATATATATATAATTTTATAATTTATATGTATAAATAATGATGACAGTTTTATCCTTAATAATATCTATATATGTGTGTATATACAGTATATATGTGTATATAAAGATGGACACAGTTTGTTTTATCCAGCTGTATTTACTCAGTGCAACTTATAACCATAGACTAAAAAAACGTGACGTCACCCGTAGGTTTCTGAAGAGCATTTTTGAAGCCTAAAGTGGGCGGAGTGGGTCGTCTTGGCAGCGCATCACTCCTGAATAATCGAAAATGAGCAAAGAGGCGGGATGTGGGTAGAGCTGGTTGCTGAAACCACGCCCACCTAGCTCCATGGTGGTGACAGCAGCAGCAATCCACCTGTCACTCAAGTGGCCTCGCCCTTAATTATGCAGAACTTTAAGGCTTAATATAATTTTAATGGATTATATTAAATATATATAAAAAAAAAATCACCCCCATCACAGTTGTCATGAAGGGCAAAATTAGCTATATAGACCAAAACCACTTTTTGTACCAGGTTGTAAACATATTTTTTTTCTTCTTTAAAGTTGGGCATTTTAACATGAGGGGTCTATGGGATTGACTCCCTTTTGGAGCCTAGCGGCCAGTCGATGAATTGCAGTTTAAGTCACTTCCGTATTGGTTTCAAGAGACAGACCGGAAGGTTGTCGCTTGCTTATAACATCCAAGTGAAAGATAAAACACCAACATGTCAGAAAAAAATAAAAACAGAATCATTGAGTTGGAAAAAGTTCACCCCCTCCTAAAAATGACTTGTAAACTCAATCAGGTGTAGCTAATCACCTTCTCAATGGCACACAAAGCTATTTGACTTTCAACTGTGATCAGCTGTGGTCGTTTTGTTTAGCTCAGCATGAAAAGACCTTTCCTGGAGCATTTAAGTCCTTAAAGCAAACAATCAACTATGGGTGGCAAGGCACTGTCAAAAGATCCTTGGGATAAAGTTGTGGACAGGGACAAGTCAGGAGATGGATACAAAAAAATTCTCCACAAATGTGGCTTGTATGGGAGGGTTGCAACAAAAAAGCCACTCCTCGAGAAAGGCCACATGCAGTCACGACAATTCTGAGGCAGATGAGACTAAAATTGAATTAATTGGCCTCAACACTAAATTATATGTCTGGCAGAAATCCAATACACCATCCAAATAACAGCATTCCTACAGTAAAGCATGGAGGTGGTGATATCCTGTTATGGGGGTGTTTCTCTGCAGCAGGCACTGGAGCACTTGTCAGGATAGAAGAAAAAATGGATGGGGAAAAATACCGTCAATTTCTTGAGGAAATTCTGCTGCCCTCTGCCAGAAAGTTTTCAATGGGAAGAAGATTTAACTTCCAATATGACAATGACCCAACGCACACAGCAAAACTGAGCACACAGTGGTAGAAGGAGAAAAAGGTGAATGTCCTTACATGGCCTAGTCAGAGCCCAGACTTATCGAAAATGTGTGGAAGACTGCAGTCCACAAATGGTCACCGTCAGAATTAACTGAACTTGAGCAGTTCTGCAGAGAAGAGTGGGCAAATATTGCAAAGTCTAGATGTGCAAAGTTTGTAGAGACATATCCCAACAGATTAAAGGCTGTAATTAAAGCAAAAGGTGGTTCAACAAAATACTGACATGGGGGGGGGGGGTGATCCTTTTTCCAACTCAGTGATTTTTTTCTTTTACTGACATGTTGGTGGTATATCTTACTCTTGGATGTTACAAGTTGTAAATACAGCTGGATAAAACAAAAACTGAGTCTTCATTTCAGGCTGCAAAGCAACAAAATGTGATTATTTTAAAGGGGGCGATTCTTTTCTATACCTACTATATGTGTGTGTATGCATCTATATGTTCTCATGTTAGAATTTTTTTATAAATTTTTTTTATGAAAATGCAGCTGACTTTTCCCCCTCTCTCTTTTTCCTTGCTCTCTTTCTTTCTCCTTCTCTGTAGCCACTGACCTTGGTTTAGAGGTGATCCAGATGTTCCCAGAGAAGGGTAACATGGGAAAAGTACTGCCTGAATACTTGAGTAACTGGACCACTGAGAAAGTCCGGAAAGGTGAGAGAATTAATAAAGGAAATTTGTTTGAGCAGCCCAACGTGGCAACATCGGCTCAACAAATAGCGTGTGCTTTGAGGTGGGGGGAGTAGGATTACCTGTATCTATGACAGTGTTTGAGAAACTTGCCTGAAACCTTTTTTTTTTTTCCCCCCTGTTCAGTTTATCACAGAAATTGCTTCTTTTAGCTGTAAATGTCCAGATGAAATGTAGGTATTTTGAAAAGTTTAAGCTAACCTTTTGACCGTCCATAGAGGGTGTGAACATAATCATGGATGCTGTAGTGAAAAATGTGAGCTACAAAAATGACAAATTGGAGATCAAACTGAAGGATGGACGCCTGGTGAGTCTGCTTTTCCATCAGCCAGTCATAACCTGGCCTGATCTTCTGTATGCTAATTACAAAGTAATATGGTTATATTTTTTGTAATTTTTTTATTATTATGTTGTTGTTTTAGATTAAGACAGACCACATTGTGGCAGCAGTTGGTTTGGAGCCTAGTGTGGAACTTGCCAAATCTGCCGGGCTAGAGGTGGACTCTGATTTCGGAGGGTACCGGGTTAATGCTGAGCTCCAGGCTCGCGCCAACATCTGGGTGGTATGTATGGCTGATGGCTTCTCCAGCAAAACTTACAAAAGGGAAGAGAGGAGATCTTTTAATACTACTGATATTGGTGGTATTCAAGAGACCGTACCAAGCCAGAAGATCCTAAAGAATGGCTGGTTCAGTTTTCATAGGAACTGTACTGGTTCTGATTGCATCATACATTTTTTCTTCGGTGTTTGTGTTCTAGGCAGGAGATGCTGCATGTTTCTATGACATCAAGCTGGGCCGCCGGCGCGTAGAGCATCATGATCACGCTGTGGTCAGTGGCAGACTGGCTGGAGAGAACATGACTGGAGCCAGCAAACCCTATTGGCATCAGTCGATGTTCTGGTAACCACACTTCTTCAGCAAACTCACCTTTTAATGTGTTTTAATTGTATTATTCAGCACTCACAACATGTCCTTGTCTTCAGGAGTGATCTAGGTCCAGATGTAGGATATGAAGCCATCGGTATAGTGGACAGCAGTCTGCCCACCGTGGGAGTGTTTGCTAAAGCCACAGCCAAGGACACACCAAAAGCTGCAACCGAACAATCAGGTACACAAACATTTACTGACATGTAGATAGCTAGACTACTATGGATTTGTGGATTAACACATCCTGGGTACCATCAATAGCAGAGTACAAACAAAAACAACATTTTCTCTGTTTACAGGCACCGGAATCCGTTCCGAGAGTGAGACAGAGGCAGTTGCCGGGACATTGAAAGCAGAAATAATGGCCCATCCACCTCCTATCCAGCAGGAGGAGGATTATGGGAAAGGAGTGATATTTTACCTGAGGGACAACGTGGTGGTTGGTATTGTACTGTGGAACGTCTTCAACAGAATGCCCATCGCAAGGAAGGTGAGCAGAGATATCATTTCCTTTTTCCATCCATCTTCATTTCAGTGTTTCTATGAAAAATATTATTTATTTGTTGTTTTGTCTATGTATTTGTAGATAATCAAAGATGGAGAACAACATGCAGATCTTAATGAGGTGGCCAAGCTTTTCAACATCCACGAAGACTGAACAATCTTTGTTTTCTCTGTTTTCTGTCCACTATGTCAAGGGCACTCTGCCCAAATCCATGTGGAGTGACCTTGGGAGAAGACACACATACACACTGAACAAACACATACAGACTTACACCAGCCTGTCATCTGCCATTTTGACCTCAAAAGTTTTTGAGATCAGGACATGCCATGCTGACTCCAGACTGCAAGGTGGCGCTGTGCCCATGGATTGGTTAAAACTGTACCCCTCAATTTTCTACCCAGGGAAATGTAAACTTCTTGTTTGTATTGAAACGTTGTGCTGTGTGTGTGTGTTTTTTTTTCTTCTTTCTGTTGAGGTCGGTATATGTTTATCTAAATTCTTGAATGCATCCCTTCTAAATACCTTTTCAGAATCAAATCCATGTGGAGTGACCTTGGGAGAAGACACACATACACACTGAACAAACACATACAGACTTACACCAGCCTGTCATCTGCCATTTTGACCTCAAAAGTTTTTGAGATCAGGACATGCCATGCTGACTCCAGACTGCAAGGTGGCGCTGTGCCCATGGATTGGTTAAAACTGTACCCCTCAATTTTCTACCCAGGGAAATGTAAACTTCTTGTTTGTATTGAAACGTTGTGCTGTGTGTGTGTGTTTTTTTTTCTTCTTTCTGTTGAGGTCGGTAAATGTTTATCTAAATTCTTGAATGCATCCCTTCTAAATACCTTTTCAGAATCAGACAGGATATCCACTTTCGTTGAATATTGCAATAAAGTTGCATTTTGAAGCAAACAAAACCAGGTGAGAGACATTCCTCTGACACCTGGTAGCACACTTTTCTGCCTGCATGATCAAAGCAGCTAGTACAAATGAAGATGAAATAAAAGTAAGTTATTTTTAAATTTGTCTCAAGATTCATTAAAATTTTTCCTAACTTGGATTTTGTTAAAACATTTGCCAACATGGCAAATGTACAGTGATTATTTGGCCATTCCAGAGGTCAGAGGAACTTGCCAACCATTTTCAAGTGCAAGTTGAAATCTGAATGCCTGTGTGTCTAATATGGGTGACCCTGAGGCTTTTGAGATGCGTAGAGAAGATGCAATATGTTAAGGCTCATTTAACCTGCGATTGCCTGCAAACATGTTCCCTAATGTAGCCTTGACCTATTTCCTTATACACCAGTGCTCTGATATACAGGTCAGAGTAATAGCAAATTGCTCGTTCTGTCTTTCTGCGGAGTGATAGCTAAAGAAAAAATACAATTTGAGCCTTTGATGATAATGAAATATTTTGATGTATCCAAATACTATATGTAAATGTTATTTTGATGCATCAGTCACACTTTAATCAGCACTGAGGAGGGTACCATGTACAGATTATATCTTCATCCAGGTGTTGGACATCGATATTGAGTTACAATCATTTATTTTTATTTTTGTGGCAGGAAGAAATGTCCAAAACAAAGGATTAAACATGCCCTAGATTTTAAGTTTCAAGATTAAGTTTTTCAGTAGAGTAGGGTAGTGATTTCAGGTTTCTTGATTCCAATCGGATCCGCTGCATTTGGTTGCAATTCAGTTCATTTCATGTCCATTTTGTGAGATTCTTTCTCTGCTTATGCTGTAAATTATACAGGGCAGTGTTTCAGACTGATTCAATTTATATATATATATATATTAGATAAAAGAACAATGATAAGAATCATTCATATTGAATTGGACTCCTTAGATCGCGTTTTGGGTTTTTTGGTTCACAAAAAAACCCGGTTCATAAGTCAGTTGCTCATAAATCGCATTGTTTGTTTTCCTACGAAGACAACTTAACAGAATTTTTGTCATTATTTCGTTGTACACAGTCTTTGTGTTGATCGCATTCACGTCTCAGGTAATTTGTTTACTTTGCCGTGGCGCCGAAGATTATCAGGGGAGCGAGATCTTTGGGCAATGAAACGAAGACCGCGATCAATCGAAAAAGAAATGTTTTAGACACGTTACTTTGCAGTTAACAGAATTTATGAGCGAGCTTAGTTCTTTGCTAAATTATTCAATGTAATTTGTATTTTGGTAGATGGCAGTGAGTTATGTGCAAGCACCAGGATGCAGGGACAAAATCTGTCCACAAAAACAAGATCAGATGTTTCCGAGATAAACTTCCTCGGCTCGGGACTGCGATCTTCTCTAAAAAGCATATGAATAGGGTGGATGTCGCTGACCCGTATTGGCCTACACACATAAATGTCTGCTTCCCTGCCAATTAATCTGGAGTTAGCCAGCAATTCTCAGTTGAGAATGCCTGAGTTCCTTTAACCTCTGTGGAGACTGACAAGTAGAAGCGCATGTGTGTTTGTGTTGGTTCAGATTTTACGATTCATTCATTAGTAAGTTAATCATTAGTAGTTAATAAGTAGAAATCAGTGGCGTGGAGTGTGTGTGTGTGTGTGCGTGTTTATTTGGAGGGTCTTGGATAATTGTTATCTGAGAGCGAAAATGTGTGTGTGCTGTAGTATAGGCATTTGCTCTAATTCCTCTTGAGGTCAAGACAATGTTTAACACATCATGGACATGGCCGCTGAGTGTGTGTGATTTCTGATCAAACTGAGTCTGTTATTCTTTAGTTTGGTTCACTCTGGAGTGAAGATACATTAAAATTAACACTGGCCTAGTTATCCAGTGTGACTCAACACACACAGAGCTCAGTCGAATTTCTCTTTCTTTCAGTTTCTTACACCCACTCTAACAATATTCTTGTCTTATTTTTCCTCTCTCTTCTTTATTCCACAGGTTTCTCCCATACAGCTAACGGTTCATGTTAAGAATTATGATGGTAATGATGGAAACCTACATCTTTGCTCTTTTTTGACAAAAAGTCAACTTTTTCACACACACACACACACACACTGGTTTCCATTTTTTGTGGGGACTCCAGAGGCATAATGGTTTTTATACTGTACAAACCATATTTTCTATCGCCCTACACCTAAACCTACCCCTTACAGGAAACATTCTACTATTTCAGATTTTCAATACACTCCATTCTGTGTGATTTATAAGCTTGTTTCCTCATGGGGACCTAAAAAATGTCCCCACACACATGCACTCGTATTAAATTTGGTCCCCATAACGTGATAAATACCTGGTACACACTCACACATACATACACATACATATCTATATTTAGAGAAAACAAAAGATGTATATAAACTTATGAACTTTCTATTCATCAAAGAATCCTGAAAAAATGTTGTAAACATTGATAATATATTGTTTTGTTCTTAATATTAATAGATAATATCTTTTCAGCATTTATAATTGATTATTGAACACCAGCATATTAGAAGGAGTAAGTTACATTTTAAAATATTAAAACAGTTATTTTAAATTGTAATAGTATTGCATATAATCAAATAAATGCAGACTTGGGGAGCATAAGAGAAAACTATTAACTGAGACAATACATGCAATGTGTATTTAAAAAAAAAATGTTTTCACCACAGGACTATTGAAGTGAACTGCAAGACACAAAGGCGATTAAAAGTGGTGGAAAATTCAGAAGAAATGGTGACTAGTCACAGGACCTAAAATAGAAATTTAAAAAATCTAAAAGTTGAAATTCTTGCTGTTAAATAACAGGAAGCACTTGTTCCGTGTCATCTACCGAATGCAGATATCAGAAGAGTTGGATGGATGGATGTTTGTCCTCTGCTGCAGTGCGTCTTGGGATGTGGATCTGGAGCCCCTCAGGTGGAGTCGTGTCACAGTTGTTTATTCTGATAAAAGTCTTTAAACACATCTTACACCCTGTTGCCTTCTCTCGTCTCCATGGTAGAACTGCACCGCAGGCTAGCATGTGGCCAGAGAGAAAGAAAGAGCAGAAGACCCCCTGTATACACACACACACACACACACACACACACACACTAACATCTCTCAGTGTGCCCGTCTCAGGATGCAGTGCTCAGTCAGATGGCAGTGGAGGAGAGACCAGAGTGCATCGGAATGGGCGTCTTGCCCCTCAAAACACATCTGCTTACTGAGATTTTGCCACAGGACACCAGGGAGGAAAAGAGAGCAGCTGAATAGTGAAAGGATGTTTTCTCTGTTCTGGAGGATCCTGCTGGAGCTCTTACTGGTTTGGTGGATGTTTGAAGGGGTCATCAGGTGAGCTTTTCACAGGTGTGCCATCATTTCTCACTGGTGTCACCATGTGATTCATTAAAACACTTGTAGAGGCTGTTTGAAGGTCTAAATATAGTTTGAAGTGTCTTCAGAGGTTTATGTGTGTAATTGGTTAAAATGACTGGTTTCTTCCCTAATATTTGAATTTCCATATACTTGTTTGCTTTTGTGTGCTCAGTCGTCCATATTTGGCTTGTGTGTTCAGTTCAGTAGTCTTCATGGGTGATAGGTTTATTTTAATCCCGGAGAGCGTTCTTATGTTTCTGAGTGTGTGTGTGTTTTTGTTGGCTTTTTGTATCTGGGTCTCTGAAGTATGAGCCTGACACATAGAGACAGCTCTGTCTGAAGTCATTTTCACTGTTACTGAAATTGCAGATTTATTGAAGTTCACATAATGAGATTGAACTATTGGCCTGTCTGAAACTAGACATTTCTTTAGAATGACAATAAGGGCTTGTAAGACTCACCTGAGGATGCATTCATTTGGTGTCTTATTTCCATTCCCTATACACTGTGTGAAACAGACTTTATACTTTCACAAATCGAATTCGCCACAGTCCTGCTCACAAACAGACAGGAAAATTGAAGAGGAACTGAACCAGAAAATGTCTCTAAATATGGAATAAGATTCAAAATGTGTGAGAGAAAGTGCTGTCCTTTTCTCTCCTTGGACTACTACTTAACTCTTTTTTAATAAATTATTAACACGTACAACAACCTGCAATTAGGTCCAAAGCAATAAAGTTGCCACTGCTATTTTTTTTCTTTTCTGCACCCACACAGAGAAACAGACAGGACGTGTCAGGTGGAGAGGGGTTTTAATAAAACATGGGACTGATGTTCTGATGTGCTCATTTAAAGCCTTATTAAAGGTTTTAAGTAAACTTCTCAGGTATTTTGTTAGCAACCAGATTTCCCTCTAGTTTTTCAATTTGGCATACATTATTGCCAAAGCATTCAGTCAATAATGGAATAATAACAGTGAATGTTAAAATGAACTGAAGGAGCTCATAGAGCGCATACCTATTAATAAACCATGCACCATGCAAAAGTCCAAAAGCCCATGTAATTCTGGTCATTTAAAATCCAAATTTTAATTGAAGTTTCTGAAGACAGAAACGAAGAGATGAATGCAAAGAGTGTCATTTGTTCAGTCTAAATGGTGGAGTGAAATCTGGTTGCTAACAAATCCAGAATATAAACGAAAAGTTTAAGATTATCGAAAAATGCAAAAGCAAAGCATATTCATTAGTAGTCTTTGACTTTGGACCCCACTGTAAAACAAAAACAGCTCTCTAATATGATGATCTGTTGGATGAGGGTGCAGATCTGATGTTCTGATGTGTATTTTTTTAACCTCTCTCAGGTGTGTGTTTAGTAAGGAGCTGAAATCGCCCAGCAGCATGGTGAAGCCCATGTCACCATCTGATTTTCTGGATAAATTAATGGGAAAAACATCTGGATATGATGCTCGGATCAGGCCCAACTTTAAAGGTTTGAATTCTACTCAAATCTGCTCTAGCGTAATTTATAGGTTTAATTTCTATTTGAGAAAATGTGATTTCTCTTAAAATGTGAGTATAGCAAGTGATGAGTACATCAAAGAACTGTGAAATGCTCATCTTTATGCAAATGAGAGGCAAAAAAATAGTCACTGACAGCCAATTTCTATCATTCACTACCATTCAAAAGTTTACAGTCAGTAAGATTTTTGAATGTTTTTAATATTGTCAAATATTAATTGCAATTTCAAATAACCATTTTCAGTTTATTTCTGTGATGGCAAAGAATGACTAAGCCGTTACTTCAGTCTTCAGTGTCACATGATTCTTCAGCAATCATTCTAATATGCTCAAAAATCATTTATTATTATCATCACAGTTTAAAAAAAGGGTTGTGCTGATTAATACTTTTGTGAAAATAGTATGATGATATATTTTTCAGGATTCTTTAAGAAATTAAAAAATTTAATTCAATTAATTTAATAAAAATTAAATTAAGATTAAAGAAAATTAAAGGAGAGCATTCATTTGAAATACAAATATTTTGTAACATGTCTTTTCTGTCATTTTTGATCAGCTGAATGC